TACTTACAACCACGGTTGCCACTTATGGTACTTTAGTACCAAAATTGATACTTTTTTTTTCGTTTGATACTCATGTTCAAAAAATGGTACATTTTTGACGACCCAACTTTATTGTGGATATTTCCAATTAATTTTTTTTATAAATGCAACTTTGCACTATTTTATATTTTGTTTATTTATAACACTATGAAAAACACAGAACGAAAAAACAAAATGGTCCAAAAAAATTTTGGACCTTTTTTTACAGAAATGGTACCTTTTTAAACCAATTTTGGTACAGAAAAATATTTTCAAGTGGCAACCGTGCTTACAACTTCTACGATATCCTTAGACATACTTTTCCTAAGGCCATGATTATTTAACAGTCAGTAAGTGTTTATATAAGTTATGACTTTATATTGAGGTATTGTCTTGTATACAGACTTAAAAATTCACTTGATTTTTCTCTAACAAGTATGGAACAAGAATCTCTTCCTGCCTAAAACTATAGACTTTTCAACAATTATTTACGGGTAGATATTCAGAGAAAATACTTGATTCTAATACTATTACCCAACAATACCAATTAATGATATTGTGCCTTAGAGTCCTGTCCTGTTAAGTCGTATCCTAAGCAACCTTTAAGCTTATAACCACTGAGTTAAAGCCAGAGCTTACTTTCATCTTCCTTTTAATTTGAAGTTTGAATTCAGTCAAAGTTTTATTATTTTTGAACTTTGTGTTTCCATGAATTATGTGACTTTAGTCGAAAACTTTACGCGACATTCCGATTAAAAATTGTTCTGGAAGCAAATTAAGAGGTTACATGCCTTTCAATGGAAAGTTAATTGCTTTAATTGACCGCATGTTTAATGAAATTCCGAAACTGGTATGAACAATATTGGTGGTATGATTTTCTGAACTTTGCTTATTGTTTATTGACTGTGACAAGTTTATCAGCAGAATTCGATTACGTCAATGCAGTGCATTCTCCCAATTTTCACGAATAGTTTTACTCTTCTCCGGCATGCAACTCGTCAAAAGTCAGGCATTAAAAAACTTTCCAAAGGAACCGTCACGCACGAATTTCGATGCTACAAAGTTTTTCGCAACTTTGGATCGCAGTCCAATAAAATTTATAAAAAAAATATGCTTTTCTTTTAAGGCCAATTTCCACTAAGGCCAATTGGAAATATAAAAACAAAAAAAAATTAATTTGAAATGTTTAAATATTTTTAAAATTAAATTAATTGATTTTTGCAATGTTTGAAACATTTTTTCTTTTAATGCAATTTTTCTTTGCCGGAATACGCTGTAGGAAACATTTTCAATGCATTTTCTATGAGGAATCCGAAAAATATCATAACCTCTAATTCGAAAACCTTGGGTTTAATTAGTTTAACTTTGATTTTAAGCAGCAAACACGTACTTCGATGCTTGTAAGTTGAGATACAGCCTCGTATTGGGTTGCCAACTGCGGGTATATTTGTACACCCAAACCCATCTGAGGTACAAACATATATACATCGATCGTATGTATATTTGTGTTTATTAGCAAAGAACCAACTTTGTGTTGGTGCAATGTGCTATGTGCTATGTGCTATGTGCTATGTGCAATGTGCAATGTGCAATGTGCAATGTGCAACAAAACAAATGCTATTGCCAAATGATAATTTTGTTATAAAACTTTTGGCAACTAAAGTGAAAAGTAGTAATAGCATAGAAGTTACCAGCATCGAATTACTAAACTTAACTAAAATTGTATGCGTAAGTTGATTTGAAAGGAAGCTCATTCCCGTCGTACGCAGGCAGTTGTTGTTATTTTTATTGAAAAGCGTACGTGTTTCTGCGTTATTGTGTAGAAGTTTTATGCAAATTAGTGCCATGGAAAGTTCTTGCAGCACAATCTGCTGAACACGTCAATGTGTTGGCTGATATCGCAGATGAACGAAATGCATTTATATTAATGACAGCAGTGCAAGGATCAGCGCCGAAACTATACACTCCCGTCGCTTACAACATACTACAGAATTTCAAAAATAAAATCTCTAAACATAAATATGTAAATATGTATACACACATATATATATGTATATGTATATAGTGGTATACTGGGAATATATTTGTAATTGTATACAAAATTTAATTAAATATATTAAGAACAATTGCAACTTCTATGAGTCAGCAACAGTTTAAAGTTTGCAACAACTAACAAAATTTGAAGTTAGAACTTAATTATTTAAATCCAAAACATTTAGTGACATAAGGTTTAAAGTATATAATTGATGTTTTAATTTGTTTTTCGGTTCTACCCAATAGTCAGAGACGCAAGCAGATTTTTGCTTAATATTCTTTGGCTACTATAGTTATTGCCTATTGGAATAAATACAGTGTATAATTCGTAAACTTAGAGTTATTAAAGATTACATACACTCAGAGTGCACTCAAAAAAAAAAATCAAATCTAAATGCGTATAAATGTTTTTCTCATACACTACTTATATGCATTCACTTCCCCACAGAAATGATTCAAAAATGTTTTCAGTAATACCTGCAGTTAATTAATCAGCGTTAATTAATCAGAGTGCATACAATTTTCTTAATAGAGTAGTATTTATAGTAGATGACTTATACTCATGAGTCATAGCATATACACTCAAATGGTCAGTGAATGAATCAGTGAGTATAATAAAAGACTATAAATCATTAAAAATGCTATCAGTTGTATGTACGAGCACGGTTGCCACTTGAAAATTTTTTCCTGTACCAAAATTGGTTTAAAAAGGTACCATTTCTGTAAAAAAAGGTCCAAAATTTTTTTGGACCTTTTTGTTTTTTCGTTCTGTATTTTTCATAGTGTTATAAATGAACAAAATATAAAAAAAAAAAAAAATTATTGGAAATATCCACAATAAAATTGGGTCGTCAAAAATGTACCATTTTTTGAACGTGAGTACCAAACGAAAAAAAAAGTACCAATTTTGGTACTAAAGTACCATAAGTGGCAACCGTGTGTATGAGTCCGGTGGAGTCGAGAATATGAAAAATAGAGTTAAAATGCGTATAAGTGAATTACAGCCAATGTTTCGAATATGACCCGAGTGTTGAGCACTCATTGCAGTTCTCTGGTTTATAAACAGAAACAGTAAAAGTACTGTATCAAGTCTGGAACTTCCTTTATTTAATGTCCAAACCTTCGGATTTGAGTATAACTTGGGATTTAAGTACTTGTTGCGGTATTTATGAAGCTAACACTAACACTACGAAAAAAATCAACTATTGCTATATAACAATTTTTACAAGAAGTGTTAAAGCTCATATCAAAACGAGTCCACTAAAAATATGTATTGAATCTGGAATTGTTAGAAGAAATAGGCGTGTTTTTAGAGTGACAAAATAAATTATAATTAATTGATAATGTGTTATATGTTTTTTTAAATAATTCCGAATGTTTTGTGCAGTAGAAAACATAGATAGATACAAGGCACTATTTAACTATATTCTATGGGTTAGATTTATTTTATATTCTGTAAACCACATATAGACATATTGATCTTCAGTAATATCAGACAGCTCTTCCACTGTATTCTATAAATTGTATATATATACATAACTACATATTAATTATATTATTACAAACTTTAATATATTTCTAATGTACTGCGGATGGATTGTTGAATAACAAAAAGTGTTTGTTGTTCTTATTAAAGTGCATTTTATACATTCATGCATTTTGCAATAAATGTTGTGAAATGAGGAAGAGTTTCATAAATACATTATAAATACCAGAACTTGCTGGCTGCTATCTATCGCATACCATGCCCTACGTTCAGTATGTCTTATATGTAGTTTAAATATAGAACCAAATGAGTATTATAATTTTTTGTTGTGGAATTTATAATATAAGACAGCACAACTGAATTATAATTCTCATTTGGTTCTGTATTCAAGCTACCATACGTTATGTGATAGATGGCAGCCGGCAAGTTCTAGTATTTATAATGTAATTTTGTGATTCGTTCCCATATCATAAAGCATTCAATGCAAAAGCTTAATTGTGTGTCCACGACACGCAATAGTATCTACTTTCCACATATTACTTAAATATCTCTTCTCCACAGTTGTATGTATTTTCATTTTAAATTTTCATTTTTACAGTATAATTAGTGTATCTTAAATTAAAATATGAATAAATATAATCAAAATAGCGACTGTGACACATGTTAGCCGTCGATAAATTTTCCAGCTCAATTAGAGCCTGCGTCCAAGAAAGGTTAAGATTTAACAATTTTTTGGTCAATTGACTGGCTAATCTTTCGGCATCATATATAAACATGGTTCTGAAAATGTAATTGAGGTGCAGTTTCAACGTATATAAATGTCCATCTTCCGCCCCAGTCTCTAACATTAAAATACACGTAAATTGTGGCATTCTCAATATTTTCTTTATGAAGTATAATTGGAGTTTATGCACCTCTTCTAACAGAGTACAACCCCATACTTGAACACAATATGTCTGTATTGCTCTACTTATTGCTAGAAATAGATTCCATTTTGCTTTTATAAGTATGTTGGTTTTATTAAGAAAGTTGTTCCACGTCAGATTTATAATATTTTTAGCTTCAATAGTTCTCTTCTCTACATGGAACATCAAACCGGACTTGATGTACCAGACTGGAGAAGGCGCGCTTGTAGCAAAGGTGCCTGGAGAGGCATGTGGCGTCAGGTCAAAATGTTATGACCAAATAAGTAAGTTAATAAAAAACATGTAACATTCATATATATATATTATACATATATATTATTATATATATACATACATATATTACATATATATATTTTCATTTAGTATACATAACAATATATTTGTGCATCGTAAATACTATGGAAGTTTATTTGTCAACTTCAATAAAATATATATATGTATAAAATATATATATATATAAAATATGTTAAAATTGTTTATAAAAATTTAAAATAATTTTGTTGTGCGGGTTTTTTCTTAATGTTTTTTCTTCAGTATTCAGTATGTTCTAATTCAATTATCTTTATTAAAGAAACAATTTATTTAAGTGACATACAAGTTCTCGTTCTTGCTTCAATTTAGAAATTTTCAAAAATATGATGTTTACTCATCAAAGTGCAGGGATGCTATATCTTGTTAAGCTTTTACTTAATACTATTACAGGCGTAATCATCGTTATGGACAACAACCATGGAATATAGTGCCGAATGAAAAAATGCAGCCATTCGAAGTATGTACTAAAATAAACAAGAAAACAGAACTATGAAATCAAATCTCAATGAAAATGACAAACATTCAAAATAATAGAATGAAAAAACTGTATAAATAAAATCTCAAACAACAGCATCCTAACTAAAAGAGTGCACATAAAAAATTTAAATATTTTTTTTCCGTGCATGTATAAACAAAAGCTAAATACGCCGGAAGTGTTTATAAAACAAACCGGATGTGAGCGAACAACATCAAATGCAAAACAAAAGTATAGTCTTTAAATAACAAACCCTGATTCTCAGTCACCGTAAAATGACCAGAAAACGTGCTTAACGTGACCACAGCCAACTGAAGTGCACCGAGTGCATTGGTGTGTGCTGGTGTTTGTCATCCCGAATAACAAGTCCGGTAGTCCAACAATATGGCAACATAAAAATGACTGCAGTCGACGCCATGCCGTGGTATGCAACAAACACTGGAACTCTGAGCACTGGAACGAGTAAATTTTGTTAGGTGACGTTGAAATGAGACATTTGGAAATTTTATTTTTGTTTTTAAATTTTGTTTAATTTTGTGACTTTTGACAGTTTTTATAAAAAATAATTGTTTTATTTTATTTACATTTTTGAGAATTTATTTTCGGTTAGTAAAAGTATCTGACGCCTAATAGTTTTTAAACATAACTTTGTTGTTTACAAATAATTTTTTAAATTTCAAAATGTTCTTATTTTCTTAAATAAATAAAATATTTTTTTCAAAATTAATACCGATAAAAAATATTTCTGTTTACTTAAATAAAACTAAATTCTCAGCAGTCGTGAGATTTTTCGGCACGATTCAGATTCTCCCGGGACGACAACAGATTAAAGTATAATCAGTTAGTTTTTCTTTTAACTAACCCCAATTATATAAAATAATAAAAAGAAAAAAATGTTGAGCAACATGTTTTTCTTTGCCCCCTCTTGCCGATACGCTATATTTACATCCCTTATTGCGATAGGGTTTAGAATATTCTTGAGATAAAACATGACTATTGCTAATGGCGACTAAAGTTTATAAACTACTATCCTATATATATGTGGTTGCTCACAGATTTTCACTGGCTGTCGTCGCGTCATACCTAAAATCTGGTACGACGCTCTCAACTTTATATGGTCTCACCTTTGTTTATACCGGTCACTATGTTGGAACCATAAGCTTGTATTATGGTTAACACTTCAAGTTATAGCGAGAAAGCAATTCTACTTTCACTTAATATGGAAACATATTTTTTCAATCGGTTTCTGAACCTTAGATGCTACTTGCTTCTTAACAAGCAGAAAGCAATATACGAATTTCAATTGGTATTGCCGGAAATCTATTCAATAGAAAATTTGAATGTATATTGGACACACTGTTGTTAAACCCTCACAGTGGGTAACCACATAAAACGACTACAGACTCATAGTCTAATTCTTGAGGTGTTGTGGTTAAAACTTGTAAATTTTTTGACTGCAAATGCTATCTAAAGTCAACTAGTACATGCGTTTTTTTATATTGATTACACATATAGCTGGTTACAACAAATACTGTTAGGTTTTAGTGCATTCCGATATTTTGGGGATCAAGTTATGCGGAGGACTTGGTTGAGCATAAAAAGTTCATGCAGCACACGACTTATAATATTCGCAGCAAAAGTCATGCAATTCAAAAACCTAGCATTTTTCTGAATTGTAGACTTAACTAAAAAATTCGATACTGCAACCCTAATCGATGTTGCTACCTTTTTGCAAAACGAAAAATTTACGGACATATAAATATTGTGAAAAATTTTTTTTTAAAAATAATTTTGTTATTTTTTATACAGACTTATTGGTTAACAGTTAAATATATCTATTTTTATATCTATTGTCATAGTATTGTATAAATATATTCTATATACATTATTTATGTTTTCGATGTTAATCTATTTATTTCTTTGTAATATGGACCAAATTATTGTTACATGTATTTAAATTATATAGTACCCTGATGCTAATTATAGATCATAGTCGAAATATTGGTAATAATAAAATCTTTAAAAACACATAAATATTTTTTAATAGAAGATTATTTAACAGCTGACCAATAAGCCCGTATAAAAAAAAACAAAATTATTTTTAAAAAAAAAGTTTTTTTTTGGTCATTAAAACGATAAATTACGAAAAAATTTTATTCAAAATATCTTAAATGTTTTGGAATCTATTGAACTTGGATGACTATATTGGAATTAGAACATTTGTATTAAACTAAACACTTTATGTAACTTAAATAATGATTTATATAGAATTTGTAGCAAAAAAATTTGTGATTTGTGGTGTAAAAAAACATTTTTATGGTTTGATGCAGCACTTTTTATTATTCACAGGTAAACTGCATTGTATCAATTTTTATTGTAACATATTTAGTATTCACAATTAAAAGAGTTACTTGAAAGATTATTGAAATGAATTTTTATACATATTCATAACAAAAACTTATTTCATATCAGGGATTCGCAAGGAGACAGTCAAAATCTCATTATATTAATTATCATAAACAACGAATAATATAAACTACCAGAAGTATTGCTAAAGATGAGGTAGTTGTCACAAAACCAAAAATATTATACTTTACTGGAACTAATACAATTCTCATTTCAGTAACCTTACAGGATATTTTTTGACCACCTTTTTTACTTTATTTTTTATCGGAATTATTTTGAGGTCACTATAGGTTCAGATGTTAGTTACATACCATGAGGCCTTTATTATTCCTCGTAGAGTTTTATATAGAAATTTTTAAAGAATTTCGATGTTGGATGTTAAGGTTGTGCCCCATAGTTGAATGCCGTATGTCCATATTGGTTTAACCACACTTTTGTATAATAGAAGCTTATTTTTTGAAGATACTGAATAGCTTTTTTTCAGTAGCGCAGATATTCTTCGGTATCGAAGGAAATTATTTAATTGGCACTTAATATATATATATAAATATCGTTAGTGCCAACAAAATAAATTGCATCGCCATGTCTAAAATACGCCAAAAGTATAATGGCAGTGCCTCTAAAAACATCTACGTCACTATTTCGTACTTTAAGGCAATGATTTAAATGTTGGACTTTTGAATCAAGTTATAGAATATAATCTTTTACATTGAAAATAGAAGATACAGTATTTTCTACTTAGCTTATGACAAGAGAGAACGATTTTTAGGGAATTACTTACTTGGCAATCTGTCAGACTGCTTAACAGTAAGAGTAAAAAAATCTTGTGAAACCACATTAACGTAACTTAGTATATCTAGTTTATCTGCAGGGCTTACTGGTGAGGAATGTTGAAAAAAAGATGAGTAGAGTATAAATCATTATAAGTACTGTCAGCTCTATATATGAATTAGGAGAAGTTGGATATACAAAAAAATGTGTCAGAATGCATAAAAATGAAACACAATCAATGTTTCAAGTATGATGCGAGTGTTAAGTACTCATTACAGTTGTCTGATATATATATACATTATAAGTATTTATATAATGCCACTATATATACTCAAAACTTTTATTAACATTCTTTAAAGTGATAAGCATTTCCTCAATTTAGCTGTTCGTTTTGTTGACTCAATATGAATACTCTTACATCAGAATACTGTAACCATTTTAAAGCAAACTCCTTAACTTCACACATACATACAGTCAATGCTTAATTTGACTCATAAAAAAGGGTATGATTCAAGCATGATTCGAGAGTTGAGTACTCATTGCAATTCTATGTTGTATATATATATTATAAGTATTTATAAAATGCCACTATATATAGAGTAATCCCTCCTATAACGCGGTGGATTGGTTTATCTACCGTATACGTATACCCCGTATACACACGTGCAAAGACAAATATGAACTGTATATGGGGGAATACCCTTGTTATACAGGAGATTGAAATCGCGTTATATGAAAACACGTTATAAGCGTACCGCGTTATAGTGTGGCTTACTGTAAATTAAACTTGTACTAAAAGATATTTAAGCCTTTACATTTACCTTTGTGGGTCATTTAAACAAACAGACATTGAATTATTCAATGCAATTATCAATGTTTATTTAGTAAAACTTCTCTTAATAGTTTTTCTTGGTAACTTTTAAGATAAACAATTAAAAAAATTTTCATAATTTCTTTTAAAACAACTCTTCATCAAGTGCACTTATTCTACAATTTATATTTATAATCCTTTGAATAAGTTTTACAATAAAAGATTTAACATGTATGCGAACAGAACATGTGTTTGCTAAAAAGTTTATCTATCTAAAATTTTAATACTGCACTTATATATGTCCTGCTGCACATATCCTATTTGATAAAAGTTTTATATTATTTAATTTTTTTCTGTATTTCATAATAAGCACAGTAGCTTGCTTCGTAGTTGTGAATTTGTTTGCCAACATTCTTGTAAATTTGTAAAAGCCAAAATCAAAAAAAAAGGAAAACCCTTAAGAAAATTTCGAATAAGGATAAAAAAAACATTAACAGTAAGAATCAACATCGCTCACACTTACAATGCTATACATTGATATCTAGTAGAGGACTAGAGGACTATGCCTTAAGTCCTTTCTTACATGCCACAGAAGGATATCAGAAGGATAGAAGGATGCAGCACAGTGAATTTGTCAACTGCACATCCATATTTCTTGAACATATTGCTTGCATTCCGGTATTCCGGTAGTCTAGTACAACAGATTTTTTATCTTACATTTTGTGTATGCGTTTGAGTTGGTCGTGTATGTACATAAGTCGTTTCGAATGAGGTTTCTTTGGATTTAAATTTTACATTGAAGCATACATTGAAGTATACATAAGTCAACTTACAATTTGAAGGACATATGGTAGAACAGATTAAACATGTCTTCTTAGATTTTGGCTATCTGTGGATTTGTTGTTTTCAATTTTACTTTGCCTTACCTTTTTCCTTAACTAAAAAGTTAAATTAATTTTAAATTTACCCAAAAAAAACCATTAGAGACAACATAAACGAAACGATTTGTCTTAGTGATACGACGAGTATGTCGTGCAATTTGGTATAAAAACATGCACAAATTGAATTTCAATTGCAATCTTAATGTTTTTATCAAAACAGCAGAAACATCTTTTCAGAGTATGAAATAAATTATTTAAAGAAAACTTTTGCACACATGAACTAAGCTAAACGTACAATTTTTCCCTTTTGACTACTGTCATTAGTAGTTCGGCAACATTTCCACTTTTAATTGAATAATTGAAACGTACCAAACTTTTCTCATCTATGTGCGAGTAATTATTAACTCTGGTTTTACTACGCCAATATGCACTCCAGCCAGGCGGTTAGCAGGAACTGCACAGCAAATGCAGCCAGGCGGTGCTCACAACCTAAATGACTGAGAGCTGAACTACAAACAGACAAAGTTTAAATTACGCCAAAACGATATCTTCAAACTGAATGCCTTCATTGGGATACCTCCTGTGAGATTTACAGTTCTGCATTTGCTCACTGCACTGGCATTTATTTATAAACAAAAATAGAAAAGATTATCTGCTTCAATGTCATGTGAAGCTAAGTGAAAAGTTTGAAGTTGCACTAATTAGGAAAAATAAATGTAGAAAATTAATTTGGAAAAACAATGTGAAATATATTTTTAACCAAAAAAAAAATACCTCGAAAAAACAAAAACGGAACCTTCAAATTAAAACTAAAATTAAAATTAAATACAAAAACAAATCAAATAAAATCTTTGGAATTAATAATAAGTATGTATCATTGTTTATATATCATTGCAACTACAATATATTATAATAACGCGGCGTCACACTATATAACGGAGAGAAGAGAAGGTTTCAAAATGCCTAACGCATCATCATGTCATTAAGCCATCACAATAGTGATATGCTCAGTTTGCGCGGACTAACAACAATCCCCCTCATGGAACTTTAACGGAAAACTTCAGGATAGAGACCCTAGGTTGGTTTTCCATTTAATTTTTATTTTTTTGTTTTTCTTCGTTAGCTTACGTCCAGGGCTCACTTAGGTTTATTTGTTTTTATCTTTTTTAAAATTGGCCATTTTCTAAATATTTTTTCTATTTGAGTATGATCATAACAAATCGGTCCCTAGCGGTACAGTTTTCTTCAGATAACATCATTTTTGTTGTAATATTTTCGACGTTCATTTCACCGACTATTGTTTCAAGTGATATTTTTGCGATATTCCATGGTGTGCTTAGTGTTGTCTTCTTCTGCAACTCCGTATATGCAGGTCAATATTTTTAAAAATATCGTTACACTATATGTAAGATACGATAATTTATAGCATAAATTTAGGCGACCTAGACGATCTCTTAAACGACCTCTTAGACCACCTTTTATAAAATAATCGTAGTCAATAACAAAGTAGTTGCTCTGATTGCTCTGTCACTATGCAATCTTCAAGAAATACAAAACATATAGAACTTTGTGTTAAAATATCCAGTACTCCATGAGTACCATGAGAACCATTAGAATGGTATAGATATATTTCAAAAAATGCTTGGCAAGTCTAGCTGGAATAATTGATGTATTAAATAGAGGGTGTTTAAAAAAAAAAAGTTATTTGTTGGCAATGAACAAACATATAGACAGATGGATATAATCGAATCTGCTAGTCTTACTTAGGTAAATATGGTCAACATAGTATATTCTTTTTTTTTAAATTTGAAAAAACTAAGCCTGGCTATTGCAGTCCAAACAAATTATATACGGACTATAAACTAATTAAAAAATTTTAATATTTCTTAAAACCACTGATGGCAACACTCAATACAAGATTGTACGGTCAACCAAATTTCAATAAAAGAACTAAAATTTTTGTTGTTGTCCTTTAATTTCTATTCAAACCCTATTAACTTTCAAATAATTTGTTTTCGTCATAAGACGCGTCACTTTCGTCAAAAAAAAATTGACATAAAATTATTTTTTTTATTGATGAAGTAAGATTTAACGTTAAATCTACTATATGTTTTTAAATTATTACTTTTTTAAAGATTTAAATACATATTATGCATGACATATTAAAATAAAGAAAAGAATTTAATTAGAAATCTACGATATGGCTTTAGCCAACTGTTGGAACGTTAGTTGTAGTGTTTCTAGTGGCACCTATTTTAAAGGTTAATAGCTGACGTATATAGAATATGTTTTTCTGTCTCAATATGAATTGTCTTACATTAGAATACTGCATCTATTTTAAAGCAAACTCCTTAGCTTCACACATACATGTAATCAATGCTCATGAAGAAGGGTATTTTGACAGAAAATTGGTTTTTAAGCTGACAAAATAATTTTTCATAGTGATAAGCATTTTTGCAATTGACAGCTAATTTATATTTCTCACTATTTTACTATTTGAACATGAATAAAATTTCGTATGTTTTATAAACACTTGAAATCATTGATCCATATTTTTTTCTAAGATGTTTATCTTCTTTATTGTACAACTAATTCAAATGATGTGGCCTTATATGCTCCGATGTGGTCACAATACTTTCAAATGCATCATATGTGATACTGTCAACAATTATAGCCAGTCATCTATTTTGCGTCGGTTCAGAAATTTCGGTTCCTTCAGGTTCCGATTAGTAAAGTCATTGGCTATATATATATCAATTGCAGTTTTACGACATGTAGCTTTTGTTATATGTGCTCATGAAAAAGATACATCGTATATAAAATTCTGTGGAATTTGAATGCTATATGGTAATATTTGTTCCGCAGTGTAATTAAACAATTTTCTTCCATTATTAAAAACTGACTACTCTAATAGTACAGCCAAATGTTACTTCTTTACTTAGCTTTAAGTTGCGGTCTTTAACATGAACTATAATGCTATAATGGAAATAGTATTTGTATTCTTCTACATATCCTTGGAATCGTAGCCCCTTATGTTATAACGTGTTATGTGCATATGTTATGCTGATCTAGAAAGATTTTATCTTAATACATACTGCATACTTTAAAAGGTTCCGATGTTTCAAATCGGTTTTACATAAAAGGACCATTCACATATTTACTCGGGTCATCAAAATTAGTGTCTCAATATGAATATTCTTTTTCGTGTTCATTGGAGGATTGTTTTATATGATGGGTTCTAGATACGACGCATGAGAGAGATTTAGTTGCACTTTAAAATCATAAATTTTGAATTTAATTTACACCAATAACTGCTGTAAGTAATTCTGAATAAAACATTTTTTTCTTTTGCTAGTTTTGAAACCTATCAAGTTCAGAGGGATCAAATTAAATAAATTCTAATTATAAATGCAAATGTTTTATTTTTAAGTAATGCAAAAGTTATGTGAAAATATGCAATTGCAGAAAAAAGTGCATGCAAAATATAAGAAAACCTATAGTAATATTTCAAAGAAGTATATATTTTTTCACATTTTCATTAATTCAAATGAAAATTCCTTACAGTCGCAGAAGGCAGGAGCGGCAATGAACTCCATTTAACATTGCAAAGAAGCTTCTGCAATACTTATAAAAACGTTGAAATATTTCTTGATACTTAAGATTTTATTCTTGAATTTTTTACAAATATTTCTACAATAATTTCTTATTTCTACTTGCATTCTTCTTAACATCAATTGAGTGTACAATATTTTTTCTTCTTGTCTGAATTTATATAAATTTCCTACTAAGCCTGCTGCTGCATCAAGTGCCGTTTCCACTGACTAGAATTGAACTTTTACGCCACGTTCTCTTATTTTTTTCTGCTGCTTTCGCAGCATTCGCATTCTTGGATTGTTAAAGAAAATTGTTTATTTTCCATTTTATATACGCATACCATTTTTCCATTTTTCACAAATAAAATTATGAGCAAATATGTATCAGAAAAATAAAGTCCATACTCGAAAGGAAAACGAAATGTGAAGTACAAAGTGAAAATTTAAAAAAAAATATATTGTAATTCGTTCAGGAATTACTTCTTTAGGTACATATCAGATAAAAAACCATTTTCGTGACTACAAATTCATCCTTCAGAGTTCAATTTGACTATTAATATTCAATCAAACCATAGAATAACGCTAATATTGTCTACTAATAGCTAATGCAACCAGTCGACATGTCATTGCGTTAATACATTAAATAAAATATGGAACTCTACAACTAAGCTTAGGAAATCAAGCTGGGATCATGGTCTTAATTTGCAAGGTACTTAAAATATTATAAAAAGTCAAATAACACATGAGACGAGATTCACTGGATGCAGCCGTATATATGCGACTGACCCGAAAGATTGTCAACTAAAAATGACATCAATGAAATTTTTGTTCTTACGATATTATGAATATGTGATTATGACTATTAGATTTTTTAAATTAATTTTAATAAATAAAGTAACTTATCAAGTTTTTGGAGTTAATATATCACATTTTCAAACTTATTACAAAAAAAAATACTTTTATTCAATCCATTTATAACTGTAAGTTCTGAGACATACATATTATTATTATTATTATTATTTCCTTTGTGTATTTACAATGTATTCATTATTATTACAAGGAACTATACATACATTTCATACATAGCATATAGTAAAATAATCGCTCATCTAAACTGCTTTTACCCTGTGATTGTCATAAAATAATTCTAGTACCTCAAAGTAAATAGCTTCATTGAACCAAGTAATTTTTAAAATTTTAAACCCAGAGATATTTATAATATACCGGTTGACTGAAAAATTTTGAAAGCGGCACCCATTAACCAGTACTATATAAGATATAGATCATAAGATATAGATACCATTATTCTTAGTTTTTACAATCTGTAGGGAAACTACTCCTATAAATGAACCCAGCCTATATTCTAATTAAAAATGTTAAACAGATTCATCAGATATATTTTGTATAGAATCTGAATACGTGTCAGGTATTCTATTTATTTATTCATCGGTTTACACATATGCAACATCGTGATTAGGAATGCAGTTCTACGTCGTCAGAAACTTATGGCTTTAAATAATTTCCTACAGCAACGATATTACGGATAAGCTATGATGGCATTAACCTATATTGTACCTAATATATTGTAATAAGACCTCAAGTAATATCAGCACTTATAAATAGTATAAATAAATTAAAATAGTAATTATTTTTTGTGAATCTTTGTTACCAATTGCAAAAAATTAATATCAAATCTAGTAATAAATTTGTTAAAATTGCTTATTTATTATAAAATTTAATAATATTATTTTTTTGCAGAAAAATTATTTGTAAAGTTTAATTATAATTACTTTGAATTAAAAACCTATATATTTACTTATAAAATATGTATGAATTGAATTCAATCTTTGAATTGCTTACTTGTATCTTTGCAACTTTGTATCTTCAAAATTTCTAACAGTTTAGAAAATTCGATGCCATCAATATATCAACTGCAACCTCGGGTTCAATAGGAAATTCAGGAACATCATGGAGATTAGCAACAGTACTCTCGTAATAAATTTTGTACTGGAAATATAAGCAAACCTTTTGCATAACATGTGATCTGTATAAAAATAAAAACATATAATTATATGATTATGTGATGGGATAGATATTGTTTATCAAAGAAATATTTAACATTAAATTTTACGTTAATTATATTAATATTGTTTTTTTTTTTTGGTAGTCTCAAACCTACTTTAAATTTGTCAAGTCTCTAAGATATCCGGTTTTCAAGTTAAAAACTCTTTGACGGGCATACCTTTACCAGAAAGCAGATCTTTTTTTTTAGTTGTTTGTTATTTGTGTCAAATAATAGTAAAATTCCCAATATTTCTATTCAAATCTAACCACTGAAGAGGACGTGTGAAATATAAACGGAAAGGTGAATAAGAAATGTAAGCTATAAGCTCTTATCTCAATTGTTAAAGCCAAGTCTTAAACTGTATTCAGTTTCTCAATAAAATTACGTGTGAACACAAACTTCACAATATAATCCATTCAATAATGGATGGGAATAGAATTAGCATATGATCATAATTAGAATAAGTAAAGTAAGTACCACAGATGCTACAATAATTATAAAATTTTTATAAATAAGGCAACATAGTAAAATTCCTAATAAAGAAGAAGATTCCTAATAATAAAGAAGATATTTTAAAAGATATATTAATATACATAAAAACATATATACGTCAATATGAATTCAGTTATTCTATTGGAGATTTCATGTTACAAAATATAATAAATATTCCAGCTCTTACATAAAAATGTAAAGATCAAATAGATTACATATTCTCAACACTAGACTATATCCTTATATGCCCTTTGAAAACAATAACTCTCGTTTGAACAAATTGCTATTGTCGTAGTAAATATTTAATAATTATTCACCCATTAAAAATAATAATGTATTTGTTTAAAAACTCCCTGTATTTGCTTTTTCTTCTTCCCATATTGTTCACCTTAATAGACCACATATGTTTATAATTCAAAACAATATATGCTATTATATTATCTATAATACTATCATTTAATATTTTGAATATATTAATTTGATAAAAACAATATATATAATATAATAATAGTAATAAACAATATATCAATATATTGAAACAAACTCACTGTATTTCTCTTAAACGAAGTTCATGTAATTCACGCTCACGAAAGGGACGGGGTCCAGATAACATGGCCTTTATTGTGGCGGAGATAAGTGCGTATTCCTTTAGGATAATGAAGCTATGACCATCAGCTGAAACTATTTTCACATAAGGTGCATTTGGACCTTCAATTCCGGGATAGATTTTATTAACCGCTATAGGAACAGGTGCAGGCACAGGTTCAGATTCTGGCTCAGGTGCAGGCTCTGGCTCAGGCTCAGGTGCAGGCACAGGTACAGGCTCAGGCGCAGGATCAGGTGCAGGATCAGGTGAAGGCTCAGGCGCAGACTTTGGCAGAGACTCTGCCGTAGGCTCAGCAACAATGATTGTTGGACTCATTTCCATATTAGTTTCCATTGTTAAAACTTCGCTGTTAAGAAATGCTATAATAAACATATATATATTTATATATATTTACAAATATATTGTACGTATAACAATTAAGTTTTCATTAAAATTACAGTACACAAGATATTTCGCATACGAGTACATGTCATGGTAATTTACTTTCGGGTACCCACTTAGTGTGAAGTGCACTTCTTTCATAAATACTTTCAACGAAACTTTATATATTTTATTTATTTACTTAGCAAGAAGAAAACTTACCTTTATGTACACTTATCTTTAAATTAAAGATACCTATCCTTTGCTACCAATATTTCCGTTACAGTATTTACTGCTGACTTAATAGGAGAATGTTTTAGAAAGTTAAATTGAAATAAATATAACATTATTTAATTCAATTTTGAATAATTTTTTTCTTTTTGACATTTATATCATAGACAAATAGAAAGCAGTTTAAAAAATTGGTGTTGGTATTCGGTTTTACGAAGTATTCAAAGAATTAATTAATCGGATAGTAAATCAAGGTCCGAAGTCTCTGGAATGGAAAATAGGTCACGTTTTATGTCACATGGTTATCGAACTCATTACTGAACATTATAAATACCATTAATAGTGTATTTTTAATATTTGTTGATTATTTATTAAACTTTTAAAATTATATTAAAATGTAGCCTATTTTTAGGAACTTAAAAAAATATTTTATTGAATATTTCTGAAAAAATTGACATTTATAAGTCAATTTTTTGCATAATTGATTTACTTAAATACTTTGTTTGCACTGCGATATTGAGGGAATTAGTTAAAATAAGTATATACATTCAATATACATCGCTTACACTATAATGGTTAGACATATTTAGACAATTGATAAATTATGTCGTATTCTAAAGAAACATCGACCTTCATTGAAATGCTTCACATTGGATAAATATCCGGCGAATATGTGTTTGCCGTAATTTAATTTAAAAATTATACCAATTATCTTGCCAATGTTATATTTTGCCAATATTTTGCAATTATGTTACATTGAAAATATTATTTAAGTCTCCGCCGCGAAGTATGCTTTAAAATTAACTAGTAACTTTTGTAGAGAATCTAAAAAGTGAAAATGATATAATTTTCTTCGTTGCATCTATTTTATATATTGAGGTTCAAATAGTAAAAATATACTATATAAATATACTAAACTCAAAATTTGGTATAGTATGTATTCTAACAGCAATAAATAAACTCCATGTGAATTCTTGAATACTTAAAATTTCTACCAAAATAACGAATTTCAGAGTTGACATACATTAAGACCGAAAAGTTTTCGGAAATTCTCATTTAAAATTCGCGCGCTGTATATTTTTCGATATTTTAAGTTTATGTAGTTTGGCAGCAATGTCCTTAATTACTATGCCAAAAATGAGCGCGATCTGTCAGACAGTTCGTTTACGGCAGCTGTTGAAACCAGTTCACCTCAGTAGTGCGTTGCGAAAAAAACAATGGAAAAAAATATTGGACAAAGAGTTTGCATCAAATTTTGTGTTTCGAACGAAATTTCGTGTGCAGAATCGTTGCGAATGCTACAAAAGGCTTATGGGGAATCAGTTTTATCGAAAACTCAAGTTTATGAGTGGTACAAAGCCTTTCAGGACGGTCGTACGACCGTCGAAGACATTTCGCAACGCACTACTGAGGTGAACTGGTTTCAACAGCTGCCGTAAACGAACTGTCTGACAGATCGCGCTCATTTTTGGCATAGTAATTAAGGACAGTGCTGCCAAACTACATAAACTTAAAATATCGAAAAATATACAGCGCGCGAATTTTAAATGAGAATTTCCGAAAACTTTTCAGTCTTAATGTAAGTTAAATATGATCAACTATAGAATACCATAGGTCTTTTTCATATTTTATTTCATATCTCAAAAATCATTTCTTACAATAATTTTTTAAGGCCAATAGTAAATTTTCTAGGTGTCATGTTCATTTAAAATATAATTTTTAATATATGCCATATGACATGATTTCTGGAGATACGAATTCCACGAAATTTAACGTATATTAATATTACAAAGATGGTATACCTTAGTTCACCTCTTGAACTAAGGTATACTCTCTGGTATACCATACCATATGGTATATAATATATATACATTATATATATTTGTATTATATATACATATATAACATGCAGCACAAAAGAACAAACTGGTCGCAGTGCTCTGCTCTGTTAGGAGCTAGTACCCCGTTCATTCCTATTCCTATTCCAACATATATTGCATAAAAGTCTATACATTTTTTCAGCAATCTAGATAACTCACGTTATAATAGATTTTTTATTTACAGTTGATAAGACTTTCATGATTTATCGATATACTGAACTGATATACTGAAGTTTATGATGTCTGCTATATAAATTATTGAGGCGAGATTGAAATCGGTAAAATTTAACTTTCTATACGAGTACATATTATATTTAAACTACAAATGTTATATACTTATCTAAACCATTTCACACGTATTCACGTCGTAAAACTTTATGAACATTTTTTCTTAAATTTTACAAAACATCTCAGTGGAAAATTTAAGAAACTTTTCTCACTTATTAAATAGATTATCTCTATCTTGCCGTCATTGCAAGCTGCACGAAGTGCAAGAATTGCAACATTAATATGGAACAGCTGTTTTTGCGGCATACCACTTCCACGTGAGAAACAGACAAAGAAGATGTCAAAACAGCTGTTTTTTTCCTTTTTTGTTTCGTTGCAAGTCTATATATATGGGTTTAGTTATAGCAAAATTGCAAGCAATTGCAAGAAACTTTGTCTGTGCATTACGTGCACTTTGCAATGAGTTTGTAGGATAGAATGAACACCCCTATTATTTTCTAAATAAACAATCTATTGGCAATACATGTATGTAAGATAGAAACCACTGATAATGATGTATATAAAAAATGCGTGAAGCTGGATACGAATGAAACTTAAAACCATCACTTATGTTTATATATTATATATAATATATGTTATAGTATATGATATGTCATATATGATATAGGAACTCATAGAAGAAGATCACAAGCATTCCTTGCAAATACGAAAAGCATTCACATCCCACATGACATCTATTGGAAATTTATATAAAGATGTGGCTTTATTTGATAGCAATAAACATTAATGGATATACACATGGTTTGCATTTACCGAGATTGACATAATCTAATATAACATATTCTATATTTTTTCATATGAAAATTACTGATAAAAAAAATTATTGTGAAGTCACGATAATAATTATAGAGTCTGTAAAAATCTGTAATCTAAGTATATTCACAAAAATTTTTTGCACTATCATTCATTATTTTATATTAATTTTAAAATGTTTAACAAATGCAAATATCGATTAATGTGGTATTGTTGTAATTAAAAAAGAGCTGAAATTGATAAGAAAGCGTTTATAGTAAGATAAGAAATTATCACATTATATATTGCCTAAAATGTTCCGGAGACAAATTTAAATTTTTAACTTAAATTAAATTTAGTGACATTTTGACGAATGTAGCTGCAAGAGATTTTTTAACTGAATTCAGATTAATTTATTGGAAAATGCAGAGTTGCGAAAATAAAATTGAAAAATTGCAAACCTTGCCCATAGAGGATTGGCCTAAACTCTGTGAGCTGTATAAAGCGGACTGGCCAAAACACATCATTAGTTACTATACAATAAGAAATTTCATTAATTGGACTACAAAAAATACTCAAATAGACGATGTAAGAATATTAACCATTGGCGATTGGCGACAGCATGGTACCTACATATTGGAGGTTTGTGTGAAAAAATTTAAAGAGAAATTTTTAGAAATTAATAAATTTCAATATATTAATTATAAATTAATTTCAATTAAAAATGAAGAAGAAAGTTACGCAAGTGTTAAATGTTTATTAAGATTATTTTAGCAAAGTAAAGAATACGTCGAAGCCCATAAAATATCTTAATCGGTCTCACACAAGGGATCGATTTAGTGCAGTACAAATAAACGTTCCTATCTGCCCAGCCGTCCCGCTGTGCGTTGGTTAGCGAGTCTTTCTATTTCTGATTTAATCGAATTTGTTATTTGAAACTGGGATTTTGTGTATATCTATAAAATCAAATTGAAAAATAAATAAAATTCGTTGGCTAGACTATATGGCTCCCGACTTCCTTTGGTGGTTAAAATATTGTGTCGTTGAATGGAAGTAATTTAATGTTATATATACTTTCAATGATTTTAAATGTTTTTGCAAAGTTAACAAATTTGAATTATTATTTGAATACACAGAAGACAGTATAATTGCCTTCACTTAAATTACAGTATGATCACTTTATAAACATAATGAATATTGATTATTTTCCAAACAACACTTCAAAAGCAATAAAATAAATGAGCCAGCGATAAATAAAGTAAATTTTGTTTCTAAATATATATTTTTTTTTAATTAACAATATTTCTTTATTGAATCGTTTTAATGAAAGCGATTATTTCATACATACATACTACAATGAAATACAAAAATTATTTGTCAATTATTTTAAGAGGTCTCTATATAAGTAGCCAGCTCTTATTTACCAGATATTACGGTGCGTTAAAGTGAACAGGATTATTTTCAGGACAGCAAGAGGACAAGTCTATCCTTCCGTTTTAGTCCAAAGAAATTTATGAAATTAGCAAGAGAGATTTGAAATATATTCGACTTTAAACAGGGCGCAACAATTATCATTGTTAGGATCTTAGCTTGAGCGCTTTGCTGGATTTATACGTTTGACGAACAAGCATTGTTATAATGCTATAAGCCATATATCCAGTTTGACTTAATGATTTGATTGTATAATAAGACTTTATACTCAAAACATAATGGAGACTGATGCCCGATTAGCCAATGAAGGCTTATAGCCTTGAACTTAATTTGAGTCCTTTTTGTTCCGAGTTTCTGCATATGACAATTGAAATCTTGAATGTGTTCTTTATAATTTAATTTGGTTTTATTAGAAACATATTATGTCAATAAATATTGGAATATTGAACAATAAATAATGAAAAAAGGAAAGTCTCTCAACCACGAAAACACACAAAGCATCAAAATGAGAGACAAATACATCGTTACATCGATTTTACAGAGTTTCATATATTTTTTTTATAATTTTACTTCCATCTCATCCAACAGAATCGAAGCAAAATACGTTACAATATATACTTTAACACTCTTGCATCAAGAACTGAAGAAATTATGTTGGAAGCTTTAAATTGTTTAGATACTAAGCCAGCTTACACATTAGCAGGATATGTGGAGAGATCTCGTTTTACCGTTATAGAACACTTAAAAACCTTGGGACTTTCTATAGATGAATCATATAAAGGATATTGTCCGGCTCTCTTGTATTACTTGCCGAAAGAAGAATCTATAAAATTAATAAGCAAGTAAGTTAAATATATGTTTTTATTTACAAAATAGTTTGAGAAAACATGAAGCTTTTTAAACTGTGTGAATTTTATTAAACTTGACACACGTATTGAAATCTATCGGAAAATCATATTTGGAGGAACAAAATTTTTAAAGATAATAATAATAAGATAATATTACTTATATTAAGGTTAGGTTACGTTGTTATATTGGCAGACCAAAAAAAGGCCATGCCTAGACCATTAAGCTCATTTGCAATACCAGATCTGAGTCTTAAGATCTGTTAAGAATTTGTTTAAAAAAAATTTAAGACTAAATAATCATCATAATACAATTTATGTTTTATTTAATGTGTATATTGTGCACCCATGTGTTTAGTTCTTTATCTGGATAAGCTCGGACAATGATACACCATAACCTCTATTATCTCTTTTGCGTTCAAAAACACTTGAAGGAACAACAAATATTTAAACCTAATATATACACTATATATTAATACATAATATAATAGTAACAGTAATCAATATTAATTAATAATCTTTTATATATGAAAATATCACTACAACAAGTACTAGTTAGAAGCAGTTATAGCTTTATAAAAGCACTATAAACTAAACTATCATAATTAATAAAAAAATAAAATATATCTGTCATTAAAAGAAACTAATTATATTATACTGTATATTAATCTTAATTAATTAATTAATCTTAATTAATCTGCATAATGTATATTAATGTATATGTTTTAATTTTCAACATACGAATATACATTAAGTCCGAAAAGTTTTCGGAAATTCTCATTTAAAATTCGCGCGCTGTATATTTTTCGATATTTTAAGTTTATGTAGTTTGGCAGCACTGTCCTTAATTACTATGCCAAAAATGAGCGCGATCTGTCAGACAGTTCGTTTACGGCAGCTGTTGAAACCAGTTCACCTCAGTAGTGCGTTGCGAAAAAAACAATGGAAAAAAATATTGAACAAAGAGTTTGCATCAAATTTTGTTTTTCGAACGAAATTTCGTGTGCAGAATCGTTGCGAATGCTACAAAAGGCTTATGGGGAATCAGTTTTATCGAAAACTCAAGTTTATGAGTGGTACAAAGCCTTTCAGGACTGTCGTACGACCGTCGAAGACATGCCGCGTTCTGGACGACCTTCGACCTCTACCACCGACGAAAACATTGAAAAGGCAAAGGAAATCGTGTTCAAAAATCCTCATGTGAGTGTTAGAGAGATAGCACGAGAGCTAGGCATCGGTCGTGAGATGGCTCGTTTGATTTTGGTGGACAATTTGTGTATGCGACGTGTCAACGCCCGGCTTGTTCCGATTCACCTCAATTTGTTCAACATTATCAACGATTTTAAGGCCAAACATTCAATAAATACCATCGAACAGCCACCGTATTCACCTGATCTTGCACCGTGTGACTTTTTCCTGTTTCCCAACCTCAAATTACCACTCAGAGGAACGCGTTTTGAATCCATAGAAGACGTAAAACAGAATTCGCAGAGGGAACTCAAAGCCATACCGGAAAGCGCCTATAAAAAATGTTTTGATGATTGGAAGAAACGTTGGCATTTGTGTATCGCTTCTAATGGAGCATATTTTGAAGGAGATAAAATAAATATTGATGAAGATTAAGAATTTTGCGTTTTATTTAAAATTTCCGGAAACTTTTCGGTCACAATGTATAAGTAAAGGTTTAAGTATTTGTACGCAAAAGAGATAATAAAGCTTGTGGTTTAGCATTGTCCGAGCTTATTCAGTTAAAGAACTAAACATATGGGTTATAAAATTTGGTTGATGTTCCCAATGAGTAAGGATATAATAAAATTTTTAAACTGCTTTGTTTTTATTAACTGAAAAGATATTATTTTTTTATAACAGAATCTTAGACAGATCACAATAGCACAATTAAACAATAAACAAATATAAACAGATGTAAAGCCCATAATATTTGTAAAATTTTAGAACTTCAAATAAAAACAACACTTTTTATTATTTATTTAATTATTTAATTTGTTTATTATATATCACTAATATGCTAGTTTATATTCTATTCTATTTCTACTTAAAGACCAATTAACGGATTTGTTATTAAACCATTAACAGAAAAATATATTGAACAAATCAATGATTCATGGCCTCATAAATATCCAGGCTCGGATTACTTAATTCAACGGATTGTGCGCTTTAACCACACTATCGGCGTTTTCGATACAATAACCGGAGTCCTTTGCGGCTGGGTTATGGAGTACGTACATATTTTTTATCTGCCCCTCTAAAACTCAATATATTGTTTCAATTCCATATCTAGACAAGAATATGGCACGATTGGCAACTTGCATGTGGAACCAAAATATCAGCGTCGTGGACTAGGTATGTCCCTCGTACGTTTACTTTGCATTGAAATGGCTAAAGCTGGATTGGATGCTACAACAGCAATAATGGTAACGAATACAGCATCACGAAGCTTATTTGAGAAAATTGGCTTCAAAGTGATCGATAAGGTTTATTGGTACGATAAAGTAGCTTTTGAATGAAGATCTATGTATCTAGCGAGACACACAGTAGATGAGCCATGTATCTATCTGTGCGCTTGTAGTTAATGTTTAAGTATTTGATCTAAATGTTAGTATGTAGCATTATTCTTACGCCATTTGTATTTATTTTTGAATTATTCACAAATGAAAACCAATCCTTATATAAATAAAATAAAAAATAAAATAGAATAAAACAAAATAGAATAAATATATAAAAAACAGTTTAAGCCAAAGTATTTGAAAAATATTGCGCCTGAATATCGCGCAAGCTAAAATGCTATTAAACTTTTTCTCAGTCATAAAACTTTTTATCGCTGCAATTGACTGAATGAGTTCAGATTGCAATAAATTCAGATAAAAAAAATTAATAACAAATAAAAAAAATAAATAAATAAATACACATAGCAAGAAGAAGAGTAGATTATAGAAAACTTTTAAATGAATTAAGCTGTATCAAAGAAGAATCACAGAGCTAGTAAAAAGTGAAAATATTGCAGATACAAAAGTAAAGTTCTCTAATGCAGTCAAAGTGCTACTATAGCCTTACACTTAAACTGCTAGACTTGATGACGCAGAAGTGAAGCAGTAAAGTACAGACTTTGAAGAAACATTTATTGCTTTTGTATGTACAATAATAAAACTTTAGTTTTTATTGCATTTATCTTAGAAATGCATTGAAAATACGAAATACGAAAACAGATAAAACAGTTTACTTTGCTTCTGCTTCAATACCCTTCACACAGAGCTATATAAAAGCACAATTCTCTAGCAAATGATTCTCAAACTAAAAATCTTATGCATATAGCAATCCATCGATAGGAATGATAATATAATGATATATTTTTTAGTTGCATACTAGCGTAATAAGAATATTCTATCCTCATATATCATAGAAGGCTTCTGAACTCGTAATTTCGGCTATTCGTTTGTCCGCAGCAGATTTACATAAGTTACATGACAGATTACTTATCTACCATGTGATAATCACGAACCATATATGACATATATTTGTATTTCTTCCTCGAAATTTAATGTTCGAAAAGAGGTCTAACTGAAGCAGTTATTGTCTTGGTAATTCGTACTTATTGCCTAAAACTAAACCTCAAAATTAAGGAATAAAGTTTCAATTTTCAGTCGTGCCACTCAAAAGTATCTGTTTATCTTATTTTGAACAAAAGCTAGCTAAGATATATACACAGTTTATGCTTCAGAAGTTGATTAAGGATTGAAAATGCCTCAAAATTTCAAATTCGAATGTCATAAGCGCAAAATTTTAAGTGGAAAACGGTAATGAGAAGTGAAGACATGGTTTTATATTTTCAAGAGCATTGCTCATAAAGAGTACCTTTCACTGCTTCAACCTGTGATGGTCCATTTTATCCTACAGTCTTAAAACGTTTGTTTGTATTATGCCAGAGTTAAATACCAGGCACCAGTTAACCAGATCATCACTTGAAACTCGGTTGGTTATGGACAAAAATCGTATTTTATGCTTACTTTCTTTGAATTTTTCGTAAAAAAAGGCATTTAATTTAAAAGAAAAGTAGTCTGTGGGTGTAAAAGCCTGTCAACGTTCTTTAATACTCATTTGACATAATCTTACATTGAGGCAATCATTGTTCTGAATCAAAAACGGACTAGGTACATAGATAGAATAGAAGTAGGTCGAATCCATTCTGAGCAATTCTTAAGAAAAATTTTAGTGAATTACCATCAGTAAAAATTTCTAGTTTTTACTTTGAAAATATTATGACGTCTATTGGACAATTGTGCACCCATGTGTTTAGTTATATATCTGGATAAGCTCGCACAATGATAAACCATAAGCTTTATTATCCTTTTTGCGTACAAAAACACTTGAAGGAACAACAAATATTTATACCTGATATATATACTATATATTAATACTATTAAGAGGCATTAGCTCCATCGTTATTTTAAATTGAACAGCTTTCCTGTATATCTGAAAATATCACAACACCAAGTGCTAATTAGAAGCAGTTATAGCTTTATAAAAGCACTATTTACGCAACGTTGAAGTATTTTATTTGTTTAATATTACATTGCTTCTTGATTTGTTGTTTTATTGCGTGCCTAACATAACTATATTTAACATTGTGGTCTGTTTATTTGTAATTCATATCAATTATATAATATGGTATGTTGGTATGTAAATATATATGAAAAACAAATTTTGTCGTCATTTACTTCAGGACTTTGAATGACAATTATGTTTGGTTATAAAACAGCTTTAATACAATTTATGTCACTCTAGTACACGTTTTTTTAGCCTCAATTGGCAAGCAAAACATCTCCAAACTATATATCTTCAAACTTTCTAGAAACATTCATGCATAAGAAATCATCGAAAAATTTAACCATCTAAAACTTTTTATTGAGACTTTTTATCAAAACTTTTTATTCTGTTACCAAAGCAAAAATGGCGACTTCGAGAAAGGCTTTTTAAATTAAATTGGCTTCTAAAAGAAATGACTGTGTTATGGTCTTCAAAACATTCGGTCAACCGGCAGTATAGTTATGTCGCATTCAGTACGGCCTATGTTGATAGCAATTCCCAATATGTTTTATAAAGAATATATTGAATTTAATTATATGACTTAAACACTGTATATGGACAGCTAAACTAGGGCATTAATCCACCTTGACTATATCATACATAATTCAAAGTGAGTAGTTAGTCAACTGCAAAACCTCTGTCTAATAAAATTATTTCTAGTATATTTTTGTCTTGGCATAATTCTATTTGCGCCACAGCGCATTCTTAATAAATTATTTAAAAAATTTTTTATAAATTGTTGATAAAGAAACAATTGCATAAACAACATTTTCTGATCATTTTAAAAAAATATATACTATATATAATAGTTTCATACATAATGAAACGCATACAAGGGACATGAAAACAGATTTTTACGAGGTCTGCAATTTTTTCTATGGTTCTTAAGATATAAACACTATATTTTTGTTTTGCAAAGCAAATGTGTTTTCTTTAGGACGTAAGCGGATAGATAAATATATTTTCATTTTCTATATTCATTAAAACATATTCAATATGCAAAAGTGTTATGTTTTTGTTTCTTTTTATTAATTGTTTAGAATTTGATATTTTCAACATATGATTTTATCAGTTCAAAGAGATTGCAAAGCTTAATGATTTTTTTATTGTATTAATAAAAAAAACAATAAAGTTTGTCTAGCCATCTGAATAAAGTCTCCAAAGACTTGGGACACCTGTAACTAAACTGTCCAAAAATTTGGGACCCATACCCAAAGTATATGTACTAATATAGATACTAATCCAAAGATTAGTATCTAAAATGTTTCGACAACAAAATATTCAGAAAAAAAATTTATTTTTTAATAAAGCTCTCAAAAGCTACTTATAGATTACTTTATCGCTATGTAATCGCTCTAAGCATAACCTCATAATTGCTTTAGATCTTATTATGAACCTTTTTACGGCCTTTAATAGCAAGGATACCTCACGGTTTCCAGAGGTGTTACTAAAATATATTTTTCTGTAACCCTTAATCTTCTCGTAAAAAAAATGAAAATACTATTCTTTTGGTTCTTTATTTATTTTTTTTTATTTTATATAATATACATTTACTAATCAAAATAAAGAAAATTATTAAAAATATTGAAATTACCGAAAATGGAAGAACATTGAACAAGAACGTTAGTGATTAGACCACATTGGTATACTGGGAAGCTAATCAATGTTACCGATTAGGCCACGTTGGTATACTGGGAAGCTACTCAATGTTACCGACTAGGCCACGTTTGTATACTGGGAAACTAGTCTAAATACCTTATTAAAATAAATGTATGTACTAATTACGAATCCTCGGTGCTGCCTGTTATAGTAAGCATAGAGCTGCGAAGTGATGTGTAGTTTAATTTTCACCTCCATTTATACTTCAATTCTCTTATGGGCCTTTTGGTTTCACTATTTGTTTGTACTGAGCGTAGTTCATCTTGAACTTGTTATTGCTAAACCATTCTATTATTAGCGAAATGGTTTGGTGTTGTTGTTGTCAATTGCAATAACACTACAAATGATCTAGAAATGTCTCCATGTGCTCAGTGGATTTGTTTGTAAACAAAATTTCTATACGGTTCCTAATTTATTGTTATGCTTCCTTGCATATAAGAGCAAAAAATTGTTTACGAAAAAGTAGAATCTACACCCAACGGAAAATGGTTAATGTTATTGATAAAAAATTACATCGAAGAAAATGACCTCATATCTATTAGAATCGTCACAATCTAACACTTCACCTAATACCAGTTGATCTCATAAATAATCCATTAATGACATAATCGGCTTTTGAACTTTAGGCTACTTCACAGTGAAGGGGTAATTCGTGTCGTGGTCATTATTTCACTCTAAATCTGTACGTTTCTACTTAAAAAAACATTGACCACATTTCATACATTAATCACTTTCGAAAATTCTTTCTCAATAGTCTATCTAAAGATGCTTACCAAATTATCAGATTTATCCATATAAAAAAGGTTTATCCATATATGATAGATAGTACATCATCATATAAATCTTTCTATATTAAGCAATTTAATACAAGATAAAGATTCAACGATATATTTATACAGACATCTGTACGCAATCTGAGGGAAAATAGTATATCATTTTCAATGATTCTTTCTGCAACTGTGAGGAAGATGATTAATATTCACATCTGTTTTATCACAGTCCAGCCCATGTGCGACATAAATTGAACGTGCTATGGTGTAGCCCTGAAAAGTATCCTAAACTGTATTAAAAGTTCTAAGTGATTTTGTTAGTCCTTATATCTAATATCTCTCATTATCTGCTCAAATTGATAACATTAAGGGATATGTGTAAAAATAAAAAAAAAATATTTTAATTCCAATTTAACAAAAATTTATATATAATTTCTAATTTAACAACACTGTGGACTTTCAATAATTTCATAATATTTTAATTTTTTTATTATATTTTTATTTCATTGATAGATACTGTAGAACAAAAAAAAATAATCATGTCGCTGTCTGTTGACACAAATGTTCTTTTTGAGACTGACAGCAGATACTACCGAATCTATTTCTGCAAATGGAATAGCAACTCAGAGAGTATAAACTATTGCAATAATAAGACCATATTAGCATTTAAAACCAGTTGTGTGATAAGATAATTTATTTTTTTTTTTAGTGCATTTATATATGCATTATATATACATTATATTTATATTTATAAAACTCTATTTATTTATAATATTCTACGAAATACTATCTTTAAACTATCTTTGCGCGTCCCACGATTTCCACTTATTAAACACATTTCTATATATGTGCACAATATCAGGTGGACTAGGGTGCAAGAAGCCAACATGCGATGTACATAGGTTTTACAATCTTGAAGCCAATCTTTGTCATTTTCATGGTACAGACTATTTTCAGGGCAGAAAAATCATGTCAGCATATAAAAACTTACAGTAACATATTTATTTCTCTCTTAAACTACTCTTTCTAGTGTGGTTCTGCTTGTGTGATATTTGGATGTGTGATCCATAAGTACAGGTTAATTTCTATACCACTTGACCTTGAAGACTTGAAACAAATCTTCCTACCTAAGTCTGTATGCACTTTTCAACGCATTTGAATATTTTGTTTCCACTTTGGATCAAAGACATGTGTTTGAATCTATATTATGTTTTATATTTGAAACAACATTTCTCCATTGTAAATATCGGCAGATTTAAGGGATCTAGTCTAGTTTGGAGAAGGGTCGAAAATGAATTGAGTGCAGAAATTGAATTGATCAACGTTAACTGCTCTAACGTCAGTTCTTGGTATTATTGTGGTATTGTAAGATCCCTATCTGCAGTAGTCAGGTTACGCTCAGTTAAAAAATTATTGACTATAGAAATCAAAAAAATGGATGTGTTTGAAAGAACACTTAACGTTACTGTAAAAAAATTATATTGACAACATTATTTTAGTTTTAAATTAAGATTTATTTATTTTTTCTAAATATTTCTTAATGTGAAATGCATATGATGTATACATCTTTTTATTTAATTTACATCATTTTACTATTTGCTAAGGTATCAAAAACATTACTTATATATGTCTACATATTTGAATATATATTTATATGTATTATTATATTTAAAATTGGCATAAAATATTGTTGCTAAAAAAGTCAAGATTAAATGTAAGAATCGGTTATTCTTAAATTAGAAGATGCAATGTTCATCTTTGATTTGTTACAAGGGATCTCCAGCAACAAAATCGAATTCAAATTCATCATTTTCTAGCAAAGCTACACTTAACTCTTTTCTACTCAGTTTTTTTTCTTCCGAATCAATACCTTCGGCATCATCGTCAATGGCAAAAAAACGCACATAATCTGCTACTTTTTCTGCATAATCCTTTGGACTGTTTCTGAGGGCATTAGCCGCAATCAAATTAAGTGGATCTTTAGGGTTAGGTTGATATAAAAGTCCGGGAAGAAAATGTTCAAACACATTGAACAAAGTAAATTTAGGACTCCAATCTTCGTTTATAAGATTTAAACAAACTGCACCAAAAAGTATATCAATATTTGGATGATAAATCTTATTTAAGAATGTTATGTCCGGGGGTCTATGGGGATAACTGGTTGGTACAATAACCTGAACACTCCAAGTACCTTTTTTGTATAGAGAGTTCATCGGACCATGAAATTTCACATGAAATAAATAGTATCCATTAATTAAAGTCACATCATAATTTGACTCCATAAGTTGCTTAACATCCTTGGCTATACGACGTTCAAATAAATTAACATATGCCATTTTTCTTATTGTGAGTTACGATATTGATTCTTTTGATCTGAAATTAAAAATCATAATTAAAGGAAAATTATTATGGTTTGCGAAATTAAAAAAAAAATAATTTTTCCAAGTATTAATTATTAAGTAAATTGTATAATTAAAAATATTTTTAATAAATTTAACAGTGGTTTTTATTAAAATTATTTTTCGTTAATTTGACTATTTTTAATAGTCATTTTGGGAAATAAATGTATTTATTTATTCACAATTTTTTAATAATAAAGTGTTTTTGCAGGCTATTTGCAAGTATTTTTAATTATTGTTAAAAATAAAAATTAAGAATAATTTATCCACAATTATGTATTAGTATATTAATTAGTATGTTTAATTTCCTAATGCTGACTTTAGACTAAAGTTGAAATTTCGATGAAATAAAAATTATTATAAAATAAATCGTGGTTTCTTTTTCTTAATTTTTGTTAAACCTGCAAAAACACTTTATTAAAATTATTTGATTTAAAAAAAAAAGGTTTTTAATAATAAAATTGCATTTATAAAAAATATACATATAACATATATATAGATACAACTTTGGATCAGTTGGTTAAGTTGCGCTGACTCTGAGCTTCAAATTTGGCAGGACACGAGTTCGATTCCTGGTATCAGCAGTCTCGAAAAATTATTTACGAATAATTAAATATAAGAAATAATCCCAAGACCACTGATGATGGGTATTTTGCAATACTCGAAACAGCTGTATGGTCAGTCAAAATCCTTTTTTTTTGTATCTTTTATATCTTAATAAACTCAAGAAACCATTAATATTTGTTAATTTAACTTTTTTTAATAGTTTTATAAAATAATAATTTTAATTGTTTATATTAAGCATTGTTCTAGCTATATGAAGTATAGATTATTGAATTGAAAAAATAAAATTATAATAAAAATAAATATAAAATTTTTTAATAAATTATTTAAATGTAATTTAATTTTCATTTGGTGTAAAATTAAAAGTTTAATAAAAAGTCGATGAAGTTGATATCTTTTGTAGTGAAAGAGTTATAATAAATGTAATAAAATTAATAATAACAAAATAATATATAAATTAAATTTTAATTTAATTTAATTTAATTTTATTTCAAATTATATTATTCGATTACAAATCTTCTTTAACAGTTTTTATTCAATTGGTGTGATAAATATTTTTATCTATAATTTTATGTATATAATAATTATACATTGAGCAATCAAATATTTAAACTTTTTTCACTTACAGTTTTTTATAGAAACTGTACGGTACTGTATATACGACTGTGTATATATATAATTTATGTACTCCACTTCAACTCCAATATATTGTATTTCTCCTCACTTCACAATTTTGTTTCAAAGGCAATTTTTTTTATTTCAAAAAATCAAGTTCAAAATAAGATGATTACTACGAAAAAGCCTAATTTATATCACTCTCCAATCTCCAATCGAGCTAAAAGAGACGCAAGCGCAGCGAACGAAATCACTAAACTGAGGGTAAGTATTGTCACAATAAACCTATGTACTTCGTACAGCTGTCATATTGACAGCTTTTCGCTAATCTGCGAACTAAAGTAATCGAAGTTAAGTGCGTTGCTACTAAAGGTAAGGACAGTATTGTGATCAAAGAATACCTCTTTGAGAAGTATTTTAAATCTAATATTCTAATAAAATTTCCAGATGATTTTATTAAGACAGATTTTTTTTTTAATTATATTTTAGTTGTTATCTTATTGGAAATTGCTTCAAAAAACAAGTACTACTTTCAAAATTTTAATTATATATATTTTATCTAATTTAAACAACTTTTTCCTATTAAATAATAATATTTTGAATTTATTTATCGACCTGTTTTTTTTATTATAATAGTTTATATATATCTTTTATAGTTTACTTTTTTGTTAAATAAGTTAACGTTTGTTTAACATCTACTTTGGTGTCCTCAACAGGATCACGATCTAACATACATTAATATTAATAAAACTATATCTACTTCACCATCTTTATTCTATTGTCTATATTGCACTATACTGCATATATAGACATTACTCTACAGTGCATATATAAACAACAGAATAAAGTGGATGACGTAGATATAATTTTAGTAATATTAATTTATGTGTCGATATATACAATACAATAAAAAATACAATAATACAATAAGCAAACGTTGCATTATTTAACAAAAAGTGACCTATAACCTTATTAATATCATTAGGTATATTATATTAAATATTGAGGGATTTTTATATTAAATAAATATGTACTAAAATTAAATGAACTAATAAATGACTTAAATTATATAAATATAAATCTATTTCGAAAAGATACGAGGAAGATGCGAGCCTTACGGGAAATGCAAAACGAACTTGATATAAACCTAAATCTCTAAGTAAATTTTTAGATGTACCTTAGTTAGTAACTGTTTTTATAGGGCACCGGATCATAGGACGGTATGGAGCTAGACTTAGCCGCCCCTGTGTTATCTCCTGTAATGCGTGTCTACCAGCTCTTGAAGAAAGGACACCGGAACACCTGATGTGTATATGTTCAGATTTGGGCAGAACTTGGCTTAAGTTTCTGGGGGCCCCCTTCTTCAACACACTCGGTGATATCTCTAGCATTAGCATTGGCCAGACTCTTGCCTTTATAAATGCCTCTGGCTGGTTCTAGCTTGACCCTCACTCTACTACCCACTATTACGAGATTTTTTGAATTCAAAATGGATTTTTTCAGCTAATTGAGAAGGACTCGTTCCTGTATAAATACATATATATTTTTTATACGCAATAAAAACAATCATAAATTATATATCATCATATTTTTTCGCTAATCTTATTTTATTATGCAAAGGAGTAACAGATAGTTTGGTAAGGTAAACATTTATAACTTAATTATAATTGCGTGTATTTAGATAATAATTTCTTTTTAATTGAAAATATTTATTATTAAATATTGTTTTGTGTTATTATGAAAATTTGAGGTTTTCAATAGATAAAAATGTAGAGATAGGAAGTTCTTCATAAGTGAAGACCTCTAAATAAATAAAAAAATTTATGGATATGTAAATATAGTAAAAGTCATTGAGCAATAATTTTATGCCATACAATGGTAAATTCATTCATTTAAATAGGTTAGATAAATGTTGGATCTTAAACTCTAGAATAAAATCGGTAAAATATGTCCTCAATTCTTACTAAATTTGCAATAAATTTTTTATTCTGCAATGAATTTGAATAAAATATAGGTTAAAATGTTAACATATATCTGTACTTTTATTATACGAATTATTATAATTGTTATAATAATATTATTATAATTTATTATAATAATTGACAACATGTATAGTAAAAATTTAAAAAATAGAAAAAAGGCAATCAGTCTGTTCCCATACTCATACTTAATTTTATTTTCTGGATTGGATCTACAATTCCAAAACTGACATTTATTCTAGATCTAAAGTGAATTAATTGTTATTTAGCAATATCTCTAAATTTATACATTATTATATGTCTCTAATTTATTAGATGAAGCGTTTTAAAGTAACTGAGCTCTAAAGTCAAGCAACAATTAACGCCAAATTATGCAGAATGCAAATATATTAAAATCATAAATTTTTTTTTCTTACAATCAACAGTTTTATTTATGTGTCTATCTAACTTATGGAGTTTTTGATTGGTAAATATGGATTCAATCTAGATTTACTCATGATCTGTCAAATTTTGTTGCCCAATCAAACGTTTTTGGAGTAATCTAACACCTTTATAGAAATGTTATATATATATTTAATCCTTTAACTCCTAGGAGGAGCATACGGCCGCAACAAATATCTTTCACTCGGTACAATTGGTAGCCAATAGCTTCAACTCTCCCCAGCTTTTCTGCATATGTAAAATTTCCATGCCGATTTGTTTCTCCAGGTGTGAGCAGATCTTCTGCTACCCATCGGGTTCTACTCAATCGCCATTATCGTGGTGTCACCAGTCGGTCTATGGAAAGTGTGACCGACCCATTTCCATTTCCGTTATTGGATTTCGGTTCTTATAGAAATGTTAATAGAAATTTATATATATCATTAATATAGTACAGACATATATCGAATCAAATCACGCTTCTTTTGTCAAATCATATAAAACAGCTGTTAATTTCAGGGTAAACTTATTACTCTGGCAAAATATCTAGAGCATAAAAATTGATCACGAGTGTTATACATTTTGCTGGAGATGTAACAATCGAAAACCCTAGATATACTAATCGAATGGAAATTCATGTTATCATAATGACTAAAATTAATGACAAGGAATGACAATTATCATATTTAAAAACAATATATCTTCCATTTAATTTCCATTTTCTTTGTAGTTTTGATAGAACATTGATTTTAATAAGAAAAAGTTTATAATATATTATTATTAGTTTATACTATTATGTATATCTATTATATATAATATTATATATTAATATTACATATATACATCAAATATTAAAACATCTTCTTTTGATAGTGATAATTAATTTAAATTCAAGTTTCTAAAAAATAATTTTTATAAGCCTTTAGGAATTGTGATATAGACATATATTTAAGTTCTCCCTGATAATATAATAAGAGAAAAAAAATTCAAAAAATCTGATAAATAGATTTTATGTGGATTTTTTTTGGAATTAATTTAATTTATTTACTTTCATCCTCAGATATTGTGAGAAATGTGCTTTCGATTGAAATCCCTAAGGTGTTAAAAAAAATTAGCCATTACTGCGGCCTTCTGGTCTATCGGTCTTGTTCTGTCTTAAAATTATAATAAAACTACAAAGTTATTGTGCTTATATTTTGTCTGCCAAAACAAACTTTTTGCGGGGAGCTTGTCTATATATATATCTTTCTATTAAATTCTACCTCAAACAAATTGTAATTGAGATACATGATCATTCTATGTATGTGAGATTCATAGAATTATTGTTATTAAGAAAGACATTCTTTTAAAATTTTTCATAATATCTTTATTTAATTTAGAAACTCATTTATATATTGAAAAATAGAGATATATTATTCATTTATTGCATTTGCCACACCGTACAACATAGATTGACGCTTAAGCTATGGATATAAAATAGAGAAATTATTTATAATAACAATAATAATTCCAATAAAAAAATTAAATTTATTGACCAACATTTTGTTCTTAATTGTTTTCGATGTCACTAGTTGCACTAGAAGTTTCGGCGTCGTTCACATCAGTATCGCTCATATATTCATCATCGGAATCGTTGCTCTTATAATCCTGACGAACAATTGCTTCAGTAGCATAATGGTTAATATAATTAGTAACCATTTCTTGAAACTCTTTCGGTTCACTAGAAAACATATCAGCTGCTTTCAAATTAAGTGGATCAGTAGCATTTGGTTCTTGTAAAAGTGATGGTAGAAAATGCGAAAATACGTTATGCAAATTGTAATTGGAACGCCAAGCATTCGATATGACATCCAAGCATACTTTACCACATAATGCATCAATATTTGGATGATAAATTTGATTCAGAAAAGTAATACTTGGTGGACTTTGGGGATAGTTTGCCGGCAACGATACTCGAATTTTCCAAACTCCATTTTTATAAAAAGAGCTCTGCGGACCACGAAAAATGATATGGAAAACATCAACTCCTTTAATCGGTGTTATTTCATAATTTAACTCTAACAATCTATTGACATCATCAATTTTACGACGATCGTTGTTCATGTTGCTTTATATATAAAATTATTTACTTTTAAAAAGAGTAAAAAAAAGTCAAATGGTAGAGATTCTGAAACAGATAAAATTATAATTATAATTAATTAAAAATTTTAAATTATTTATTTTTAAAAAAGTAAATAAAAATTAAATGGTAGAGATTCTGAATTATAATTATAAATTAATTAAAAATTTTAAATTTAAATTTTAAATTTATAAAGGGGCTTTTTAGAACAGTGATAAACTACAACAACAAAAATTCATTTTATAATATTTAAATTAATTGAATATCTGACTGTCTATACAGCTGTTTCGAGTATTACCAAATACCCATCATCAGTGGTCTTGGAAAATAATTCTTGTATTTAATTATTTGTAAATAATTTTTTTTGAGAATGCACGCACCAGGAACCGAACTCGTGTCCTGCCAAATTTGAAGCTCAGAGTCAGCGCTTCTTAACCAACTGAGCTAAAGCCGTACTTGACTTTTATGTTCGCACAATTTTCTGGAGTTTTGTTAATTTGCAGTTGTAGAATAATTGAATCAAATTTTTATTTGTAAATTTTAATTTTAAATTTTAATAAAGTAAATAAAAATTAAATCGTATAAATTATAATTCTAATTATTTGCTTAATGTATGCTTAATTATTAAAAATTAAATTTATTGAATTGTTTACTTTGTGTGAACCTTAAAGGGTTTCTGTTTCTCATCATTCAATTTTGTTTATTTTAAATCCAATAAAATTTTATTGCAAATTCTGCTTCAATTGCGTAAATTTATAAACTTCAAATACTTCACACATGATTTGAAATACGTGATGTTGTTTATAATCATTCATCGCAAGTACAGCAGATGATCTTCGTATCTCAGATTGACACCAGTTAGCATCGATTTATGAATAATTTCGGTTTTCTGTAACGGCACAGAATTTGGCAAAACTTGGAGTAAGCAATGTGCTTATTTTCAGATCTCAATAATGCTCTCTATATAAATATTTAAATCAACTCAGTAGTTATTGAAAGCTATTATTATGTATTTATCATACTGTTAATTTAGGAGTTCTTCTTCATGTATTCGAAGGGCAAATGATGATCTGCGCAGAAGACAATAGCGAAACGCAATGATTTGTCTTTCAACGTTCAATCACTTCAACTTTTGTTTGTATTTGTAAAGATAACATAGATACACAGTTGAAAAAAATTATTTTTAAAAATTTTACTTAAATCAAAAATATAACCAACAGTTAAAAAAGATATATATGCACTTTTTAAAAAGAAATACAAATATTAAGTGTTTTATTTTCTGGATTTCGTATAACTGCTGAACTTTTCAATAAGATCATTACAATGTGATTGAACTTGAACTTGATTTTGAATGAGAAGAAAATAGTTTAGCAGATTTTTAGTAGGTTACCAAACTATATCTAAAATTAATCTCTTCACGAAAGTTAGTTGTTGAGTATATTAATCTAAAAATTAAAAAATATTATAGTAATAATTCTACTCACAGTGAATATATCTGATATAATTTAGTGAAACATAATAATATGTTTATTATGTATATGTGTTAAGCAAATCATTCCAGCAAATAATGTAATATTGGGAATAACCAATAACAGTTACTTCGAGGCAAATAAAAAAAACAAATATTTAAGTATATCTGAATATGAACGCTCTTCGAATACAAAACTCTCTTTTATACCAGTCGGTACCTGGTTCCTCTTCTATTTACCAATATAATTACCGATAGTTAAAATTTTAATTAAAATATATTGTCATAACTAAATTCTACGAATATATAATAAAAATAACAAATTTCCACTACATCAGTATCGTTAATCAAATATAAAATGCAAACATAAAAAAAAAATTGTCAAATTTGTATAAAAAATCAAAGAAAAGTTTTAAAACATATATCCAGCTATATATCCAGTATATATATTCACTCTTGCAAACTCATTGCAAGGTACACATTGAAATATATAATCAAAGTATAATGCCATGAAAACAGATGTTTGTACATACGTGTTTGATAACTATATACATTATATATGTTCACGTCTAATACCGAATGTGAGATATTCCGGGAAAAAAATGCGTAACGTATAACGTATTATCTAATATACTATGACCAAAACGGACATCACCAAAAAAAATTAAAAGCGGGGTTACATGACATATTTCTATCAAATATTTATATTAAAATAGATACTAAAGACAATACTAAAGAGTATTTTTATACACTATTACCAATAACTTAGATATTATTAAGTTATAATTACAGAACATGAAATATTTTGCTTTCATCAAGTTATTTAGATTGTAGTAGAAAAAAACCACGATTAAGTTGGAGAGATTATATCAACAATTATACTGTGTATACCAAAACTATAAACTAAAAACTAGAAAATAGTGATGTAGAATTAGGATTAGTATAGACAAATCTTAATGTAAAAATTGAATATTTTATTAAAATTATTTTTAAAATATAAAAAGTTTTTCGGATTCGAATAACAAAGAAAAGACAGGGACAAAAATTTTATTTAATCACCACTGATAATGAGTACTTGACAATACTCGAAACAGCGTTGTTTGGTCTGTCAAATTTCAATAAATTAAATCAAATTTTTGTCCTTGTCTTTTCTTTGCTATTCGAATTCGTCTAATTTTTAAATAGTTTCTTTTCGTCATAAAGACACGTCACTCTCGGCAGGAAAAAATTAACACATTGGTTATGAAAAGCTATTTTTAATTTAAAAAATATATTAATTAATTAATTTAATTTATGTAATTATTTTCTGTTAATTTTACTAAAGTTTTCAAATTTATTTAAAATTATTTCTCTGGATGATATATTAAAGGCACTTTCTTTTTTTTTTTCTGTCATAGTATTTGTTTTAATTTTATTTTTTTGATATTCGATTTTACACTCACTCGTTTCTAATGCATAAAATTCAAGAAGGTAAAAACTTTTCTATACGTCTATCACTTAAGAAATGAACTAATGTAATGAAATTATTTGAGTAAAATATATATTTTTCCCATATCTCCAGTTGTTGGAGCTGCCATTACATTGACAATTTCTTACTAAGCGATAAGTGTTTCCCTGTGCGATTTTCTAAGATTTTGATATAACACACCTTTTGATGACAAAGCTATACTCGAAGTTTGAAAGCAATGTCAACCGTCAGCTATATCAAATTAAACATTATATTACATAAAATATATTTTATAAAAAAAAGACTGAGATTAAGTAAAAAAGTTAAAATGTTTGATCTCACTATATTGTTGATTTTACTCATGGTATATATGAAATACAACTTCAAAACTAACCTGTGATCGTAATAAATGAGATTGTTTTTGAAAATATATGAGATGTCCACCAGACTATCTATTTCGAAGACTTCCATTGTTATGCAACTATTTCTTTTTCCTCTTCGTCTTCGCATATTTGGCATTTTAGGTTCAAGATATTAATCAATTTTTAACATGGATTCTTTCTGACTAATGTCCGGTCAACACCTTCATCAGTTCTGCCATCTTAGATCTACCCAGTAGGATTCTCATTTTCGATCAATTGTATTGTGATTATGTTAGATAAGATTTATATGGTCCATTAGAGCTTTTCATATATGTTCCATTTATCATAGAAAATGATGAATACATTTTTTCAGTAGTTTTGACTCTTTTTAGCAAAAGATTGTAGTCTAATTCTAGTCTAGTCCGTTTATCCGTAATTTCAGTTCCTCGAATTCCACAGTTTTCTGAAACCCGGATCAATGTTATTATACACTAGTTACTGACTGAATTTAGTTAAATATTTCATCATTTAATTCTTTGATTGTCAATATTTGTTTTGTTATGTCACAAATTTAAAATTAAAATCTGCATTATAAACAATTCTCCTAGACTTAGTCAAACAAAATTGCCTTAATCTTTGTGCAAATGGTAATTTAGGTATATATTGAAATCAGTTAGAATTCAAATGTGAACACTTCTTTAAAGAATTTTGTTTTATTTTGCCATTCTTACTTAACTTACAATTTTATTTTACTTGTATATTTTTTGCGGTGTATAAAAACGTAGTATCTACATTTGATCTAAGAAAAATGGCAAATGTAATAAACAAACAAAAATTCATGTATCTAAGTAGGCCAATAAGAACTATCTTAACGTGAAATATAATATACTCTAATCTCCGAGTGAGGGTTAAGGATCATGAACTCATTAGAAAAGTTACAAAACATTAGCTTTGAATTTGTAATGTACAACACTTACTTTCTTCAGATTGAGTACAATCATCATCAATACGGGAAATCACAAGTACATGAAAATTCTCGGCCATCAAAGCCAAAACATATCCATATCTTCAAAATTTCACACTAAATAAAATTAGTACTCATATTACTTTAAATATCAAAATTGATGTGGTAAATGACCTTTGTCATTTACAAAAAAATGCAGGCCTACCCTAATTCCATACTAAATACCACACTGTACAGTAATGCAATGCTCTCTTAACAACTCTCTTGTGGATTTTCACTCTATCATATCCTCAGATACGACAATTTTGTGTGTTGACATATCCACCAAGCAAAAAACTAGCCTCATCACTACAAAAACGTTTGCACAAGTAATTATCGAAAACCTTAGACTAAACACCCTTAGTTGACAGCTCCTTTGAACTGAGTTTCACAAAAGCTGATAAATTAAGATCACGAAATATATAACCATAGGTAGAAAACGTAAATTGAGTTGAGTTAATACGTGCAATGTATACCACATATATAATAATATATACTATATAGCATATATAATAGTATTTACATACCATATATCTTATATACTAATCAAGTTAAGAGAAGTGAAGTAGAAGTTCATGTTATATTAAAAACAGCAGATTTGGAGAATGACATACTTTCAATTTTTAGTTTATCCCGAAAAGAAGTCATTGGTACAGTCTTTATTAAAAATTCAATTGCAATTTCTAATTTCTGATATTATGATATTAATTTCTGATATTATTATGATATTATTATGATAAAAATGAGTATCCGGCATG